AAAAGGACTGCACCCTCTCTCCCCTTCGCCTTCGGAAAGCGCGGCCGGGGAGGAGAAGGAGGAAGGGGAAGGTGGGGGGGGGAACACCGCCGGGCCGGTGGCGACGGCTTCTCCCGGCGGTGGGTTATGGGGTTTTTTGGAGCCGGTGTCCTCTTTCCCTCCCCGCTCCTCATTTGTCCTGCTATCTCCCTCATCATCTCCTGCTCCTGCTTTTCATTGTTTACCTTCTTAATGAGGGAGGCGGGGACGGCCGGGCCTTGACTGACAGCGACAAGCCCTTACGGACCGGCTGGAGGGCCGGAGGCTGCGGGGCGGCCCCGGGGGGCTCCGGCATGCGGGGCCGGGAAAAATCCCTTTGGGAAAAGCGGGGCGGCCCCGGGCTCCGCTGCGGGCCAGCGCCCGGGGGAGGGTGTGTGTGCGTGTGTGTGTGTGTGTGGAAGCTGGCCCCGCGCTACTCTGTAGCAAGTGTATTTTTACTTCAAAGCGGAAAATGCTAATTAACTGATACCTGCTTTTAAAGTTACTGCGAAGCATATGGTGCTCAGTGTGAGATTCCTCCGGCTGCTCAGAGCAAGCGAGGAATTAGCGAAGAAGAGAGCCGGGATGTAGGGAAACGGGGCTTTGCTCCTAGGAGGGAAAACTTAGTAAATATCGGTGCCAGTCCAGGAGAAACAGTCGTGAAAGGAAAAGTTGTTGTTGATGATGATGATAATAATAATAAAACGAAAGAAACAAAACAAATAAAGGGGGCAGGGAACCCAAACAACCCCAAAGTCGCCTCTGAGCTCTCCCAGGCCGGGTGACGGGGAGGCGAAACACCGGCGGGTTGTGCTTGGCTCTGCGGTACTGCCCGCTGGGGAGAGCGGCACGGCCGGGCCGGGTCGTACCGGGCTGTACCGTGCCTTGCTCCCCGGCAGCCGCTGACCGGTGTGTGCGTGTTTCGGTTTTCTCCCGCAGACTGGCAGAAGACGGAGGCGCAGAAGAGGCGAGAGCAGCTTCTGCTGGACGAACTCGTTATTCTCGTTAACAAACGGGACGCGCTGGTCAGGGACCTGGACGCCCAGGAGAAGCAGTGAGTCGGGAGAACGAGCTGGGGAGGGGGGGTCCCCTTCTCCACGGGAAGTTTGTGACGAGTCCGCGGGCGCTGTGGCCGTGGCCGGGTGTCGTTGCGGCCGCGCAGCCCCTCACCGCGCCTCCCGCCGCCTCTTTCCGCAGGGCCGAGGAAGAGGACGAGCATTTGGAGAGGACCCTCGAGCAAAACAAAGGCAAGATGGCCAAGAAGGAAGAGAAATGCGTCCTCCAGTGAGCGGCCTTCCCGCGGCGGTGGCAAAATCACAGCGCGGCTCTTTCTTATGTTTTTAAAATGCCGACAGGAGACTGGAAAGGAAACAAAAAAAAAAAAAAAAAAAGGAAAAAATGTTTTGAAAAGGGAAAAAAAAAATAAAACTTTTTCCATTTTCTTAGGCCAGATCTAGGCTGCGCCGGGCCCCGCTCCGTTGTTTTTTGGTTTCCACTCAAGCGAACTCGCGTTGTGCCAGGGTTTCCGTGTGGGCTCAGCTCTCCTGCCGAAAGGCTTTGAAACGGAATCGCCGAGCCCCCGTGTGTGCGGCGGTGCCGGAGATGTACGGAGGAGCAGAAGAAAGAAAGTGCGTCCTGGATGCTGTAGCTGGAGGAGGGCTGAGTTTTGAAATAAATATGTTTTTGTCGTAATAGGATTAGAGAGGGGGATATAGGAAAAAAAAAAATCATTGGGAACGGTTTCATCTAGTCCTGCCATATGTAATACTTAATAAGCTACCTACATTTTATAGTTAGGTCAGATCCACCCCAGTTATTATGATTAAAAATGTGCTGTATTTACCAGTGTTTTATTTCAGCAGTTTTACATGTCCCCGGGAGCAGAGCTGAGCCGCCCTGCTCTACTCGGGGGGTTCCTCCGCCGGAGTCAGCGCAGAGCCCGGGGAGCGGCAGGGACCGGCCCGGTGCCTCCCCCTGCGTCCCCCTCGGGCCCGGGCCGCCGCTCCGCGTTATTTATTGCGCCCGGGCCGCGTCCACCCCGCGCCCGCCCCCCCCCCCCCCCCTCCCGCCCCGTCGTGTGTCCCCACGCGTGTCCCGCGCTCGCATCGTCCCTTCGTGGAGCTCGTCTCGTTTATTTATTACAATACCGAGTCATATATAAGATTTTCAATAAAAGCCGACTCTTTCTTACCGTAAACTGCCGCGTTCCTCTTTACCTGGGGTACTCCTTCCATCCCTCCCTCCTTCCCTCCAGCGCCGGCTGGGGAGGGGGTCCCGGGCCCCGGGAAGGGCCCGACTCCGCGTGGGGCAGAGGGACCCCGCCGCTCCGCCCGTACCGCAACGAAACCCACCAGAGGGAAAAGTTTTTCGTTTGCTTTTAATAAAACGCAGCTCGCGGAGGGGGAAGCGAAACTTCTCCCGACGGGGCCGATGCTCCCGGCGCGGGCAAAGCCGCTGCCGCGCAAGGAGCGCACCCGCGGGGAGCGGGGCCGGAGGGAGCCCAAACCCTGCAGGGGCTCGGTTGCCGGCTGGGAGGTACCCCCGGACCCCAGCATCGCCGGCGGCTCCGGGTGCAACTGCGACCCGCTCCCACCAAAACCTCACCCGGGGAGGACGGGGCGCCCGGCCTTGGGTGAGCGGCAGGCGGGCCGCGGGCTGTGCCGGTGCCCGCCGGTGGGTTTGGTCCCGTGAGAAGTTGGGGGGGATGCGGGGAGGGCCCTGGGCCTAATCACAACAATACAGATGGGGGGGGGGGGGGGAGGTCCACGGTCGCGGGGAGCAGCGGAGGGGAGCGGAGAGGGCAGCGCGGCAAAGACCGCGGTGCTGCCTGCCCGGGGAGCACCGGGAGATGCTGAGCCCGAAGCTCGGGGCTACCCCTGGGGGGGGGGGGGGTCCGGGTCGCACATCACACCCCGATACCCCGCGGGGCCGGTGCTTGTCTGTCTTTAACGCGAGAAAAGTAACTCAGGCCCCGGGTTGAGGGGAAAATAAGTGTGTGCGTGTGAGTGTGCGTGTGCGTGTGCCCTCCGCTCCCATCCCGGGATCGGGCCGTAAAGGCCCCCCCGTCCCGTGTCCTGCCCGAGCTGTCCCGCCTGCCCCCCCCTCAGCAGCAGCCCAGCCCCCGCCCGCCCGCCCGCAGCCCCGACCTTACCTGGGCGCAGCGGGGAGGGCGCAGCTCCGTCCGGCGGAGGGGACGGGACGGGGGGGCCGGAGAGAGCCGGGACCGACCCCTCGGGGGGCGGCGAGCCCCGCGCCCGCCCTGCCCGCAGCCCCGGCAGAGCCGGCGGGGAGGTGCCGCAGGGGGGGTGCTGGGCAGCCGCGGTGGTTGCGGGTGGGTTTAGGGGGGGGCACAGATCTCCCGGTGTGGGGAGGGAGCCCCCGGGGGCGGCCGCTGGCCGCCAGGACCGGGGCTGCCCCGGCGGGAGAAGTGATGGGGCGGCGGCGGGGGAACGCAGCCCTGCCGGGAACTGCCCCGCAGGGACCGGGGCTAAACAGGGGGGCCTGGAGGGTGGGGGCAACTGTCCCCCTAAATCATTCCTCCTCCCTCCTCCTCCTCCCTTTGCTTTTTGTGAATGGGCCGCGGCGCCTTTGTTGCGGGGAGAAGTGCCCGTGTCGCTGACTTTTGTGGGCAAGCGGAGGAGCTTGTAAACCTCCTTTTCTCTGCCCCCCTCGGCCCATCGTCACCGTCCCGCCCGGATCAGACGGTTCCGTCCTGGCCCGGGAAAAAGGGGAAAAGAGGGGGGAAAAAAAGAAAATGGGGGGGAAGGAGGAAACCAGCGCTTTGGTGGTGCCGGCGGGCAGCGCCTTTGAACATTAGCTCGCTTTCAGCTCCCACTGCAATTAGAGGGAGTTGATTTGGGGAGCCCAACAAAAGCCGGGGCCGGGGCCGCTCCGCCGCCCTCGCGGCTGCACCGCCGCGCTCCGCGTTCCCCACTTCTCCGCCCGCCGGTCGCTCCGCTCCGCTGTCGCCGTCGCTGCGGGGAAAGAGTCAGGCTGCGCGGAGCGGTGCGGAGCGGTGAGTCCCGTCCCGTCCCGTCCCGTCCCGTCCAACCCCTTCCAAACTCCCGCTCCCCGCCGCTCCCGGGCCCCCCTTGGCGCGGAGCAGCCGCTGAACGCGGGACTCGCAGTAAAGGTGCGGCCGCTGCTTCTTTATTCTTATTTTAAAGCACAAAGTTTGGGCGAGTCTCCAGACACGGGGGGGGGGGGGGGGGTGTCCGGTAGCCCTCTTCCCCCGGCTCCCCGCCGCTCCCCGCTACTCCCTGCAACATCCCCGCCTCCAGCAGCGCCCTCCGCGCCTGCCCAGGCGGCCGCCGAAACTTTTCCGCGGTCCCGCTGACGGCGGGCTCGGAGCAGCGCACCGGGGTGCCGGGGGAAGGGGCAGAGCTGCGCGGGCGCGCAGCGGCTCCCCCCGCACAACTTCTCCAAGCATTCCCACCCGTCCTCTGCGCCTCCACGGAGGTTACGCGGGGCCCTGCGCGCTCACCCCCAGCCCCGCTCCACCCGCTGGGCTCCGACACCCGCTCTCCGCACCGCCGGGGCCGGGTCGGGAGCGTCGGCGGTGGGTGCGCGGGGGAGCGCGGAGCGGCGCGGGGAGGGGGGGGGGGGGGGGGGGGGACGCGGAGGGAGCCGTCGCCCTGCGCTGCCATTGCCCGGGCGGCTGTCAGTCAGGCGGGGAGCGGCCGAGGATTGGCGCCGGGCTGGTTACGCAGATGCTTTGCGCGCACATACAAGGGTAGGGCCGGGGGTAGGTGATCAATCCTCATCAGGGCCGCGGCTCCATCGCCCCGACAGCGCGGGCCGCCGGCAAGGTAACGCGGGGCGCCCCGGCAAGTTGGGGGTGCGCGGGTCGGCCTCGGGCATCGTCCCCCCCGCCCCCTCCCCAGCCCGCCCCCCCGCCCGCCCCCTCCGCGCCCCCCGCCCGCTCCGCCCTGCCCCGCGCACAGCCCCCGCCGCTCCGCAGGTGGCCGCGCAGGTGAGGCGAGGCTGTGCGGCGCGATCCGCGCTCCCCGACGGGGCGGCCGGCGGCGGGACGGAGCGGAGCGGTCCGGCGGCACCGCCACCAGCACTCGGGGTGCTTGTGTCTGTGAGTGTGCGATGGGGGGCAGTGGGGGAGGGGGCACGGCCGGGACGCGGCTGCCCCGGGGTTTTCCTCTTTCTCTCTTCTTTTTTCCCCTTCTTTTCCCGTCCTTTTTCCCCCTCTCGCCGCCCGGGACCGTCCCGCTCCGCCGCGCTCACCGGCAAAGTTATGCAACGCCGGGTCACGGCGCTGCCGCCCGCGCTGCTCCCGGTCCCGGCCTGCCGTGGGGTGCTCCTCACCCGCACCCAAAACTTACCCCCACACCCACCCTCGCCGGCCGGGCCGGGCTGCTCTGCCCGCGGTGCCCCCGGGGGGGTCCCGGCCTCTGCAGCGGGGGCCGCCCCCGGGGCTCGGCGGGGCCGCCCGGGGTCTCTCCGCCCCTTCCTCCTCTCCGCGTTTATCTGCCGCTTTTTGCCACCGAGCCCGGCCGCTGCCTGCAGCCGGCGGCCGCCGGGTCCCGTCTGTCCCCCCACCCGGCTCCGCCGGAGCCCCCGGGCCGGGCTCCGCCGCCGTCCCGGCGCCCGCTCGGGTTCCTGCGCGCTCCTTTTCCCCTTTCCCCTTTTTAACTCTTATCCATTTCTAATTAAAACGTCCCGTCTGCTCGCTCTTACATTAATTATTCTTCCCTCCTCTGATACCTCCTTTTGATTCCTAATCCAATTATCTTTTTAAATAATTGCTTTATCTCTCCCCATCGCCGGGCACTGTTGCCTCTCGGCGCTTGGGCGCAACTCGCCTTCGTTTGCAACAAAATACCACTAATAATATCACTAATAAAACTCACAACTGAAGGCCGCCGGCCCGGACCACGGCGCCGGCTGCGAGCAGCTCTGCGGCGGCCGAGCCCCCGGGGTGCCCATCGGCAGGGCTCGGGGCGGCCGGACCCCTAACCCGCCTCTCTCCGCTCTCTCCCCAGGCGCTCCGGCCTCGCCTCTGCGCGGGGAAGAAACCCGACTTTTTGTTTCCCGATCCTCGTTGTTTCATTTTTTTCCTCCTTTTTTTTTCCCCCCAATTCCTTTGCTGCGATCGCTCGAGGACCTCGCGGCGGTGACGGCGGGACGGAACGAAACAAACTCCTTTTGCACCTATTTTGTGCTTCATTTCTTCGATTTTCAATTGTGGTTGGCTTTTGCATTTTTTTGCCTCCTGTTCGGGGTTTTTCGGGGGTTCTTTTTGTTGGGGCTTTTTTTTTTTTCCCTCCTTTCCCCCTCCCCACACTTTCGATTTTTATTTTTTATTATTATTATCATTACAATTATTTCTTTTTTTCTGCGGAACTTTGGAGGATCCCTGCCCGGCTTTTAGCATGATGTCGTACCTTAAACAGCCCCCTTATGGCATGAACGGGCTGGGGCTGACGGGCCCCGCCATGGACCTGCTGCATCCCTCCGTGGGGTACCCCGGTGAGTGCCGGCGCCGCGGACCTCCCCATGCCCCGATGCACCCCCTGCTTCAGCGGTGGGGGGAAGCTCTGTACCCGTCGGGTTTTGGGTGGGCTGTAGGGTGAGTGCCCCCATTTGCCCGCACCCCTGGCCAGACACAGCAAGGTGGGGGGGGACAGCGCTGGGTCCAGTTGAATTTTCCTGGGGCTTCTTCTTTCCCACGGGGATTTTTAAGGATAGAAAAGCTTTAAAACAACAGGAAAAGCAGATTTACTTCAACACAACGAAATCTCCCCAATGCTCCCCCCGGGGCCGGGCCTGCCCCTTCCCCAGCCATGTCCTGCCCGTTGTGCCTGCAGCAGGGCAGTGCCCGCTGCCGTGAGGCCGAGTTGTGTGGGGGGCAGCGCGGTTCCTTGGGGTGGGAGGCAGGGATGCTTCCCTGGCCCTTATCCCGCGGGGTGCCGGGATTCCCACCGTGCCCGGGGCTGCGGGAGGTGTGTGGGGACCCGGTGTGACCGCCGCAGCGATGCTCGTCCCCAGCCACCCCACGGAAGCAGCGGCGGGAGCGCACCACCTTCACCCGCTCGCAGCTGGACGTGCTGGAGGCACTCTTCGCCAAGACCCGGTACCCCGACATCTTCATGCGGGAGGAGGTCGCCCTCAAGATCAACCTGCCCGAATCCCGAGTCCAGGTACAGGACCTGTTGAACTGGGCTGGGGGGATGCGGGGCATCCCGGCTCTCGCTCCAAACTCATCCCTGTTTCCTTGGGGGTGGAAAGTGTGTTAACTCCCTGTCACTTGTCTCTCCCACCTGGGGGGCATCCAGGCAAAGGGGGGGGGGGGGGGGGGGGCTTTTATTCTTCTCTTTTATCCTCTTATTAGTTTTATTATTATCAATATTTTTCTGCCCCCCTTCAACCTGCCCCAGAGTGTAGCAGCCCCACTCCCCGCATGCTTCCAGGGGTGCTACCTGCAGCACTGCTTCCTGCATGGTGAAGCCCAGCGGGGTGGGATATGCAGGCAGCGCCCTGTGAAGGCTCTGTCCCCCCGAACCATATACTGTCACAGCTCAGGGAACATGCGTGAGCTGGGGCACCCAGGATGCAGGGTGACCGGGTGCCAGTCGGAGGCGGGGTTCTTTTGGGGTGCGGGGGTGAGCGGTGCTAATGGCTGGGTGTGTGTGCTGGGAGAACTGGAGCTGGGGTGAGGTTGGCTGCGTGCTGCAGGGCAAACAGAGGGCCTCTGGAAGCAGCCTCCGGCCTCCTCCTCGCCCCACCGCTCATCCCATTGCACCCCATTTTGCCTCCTCAGGTCTGGTTCAAGAACCGCCGTGCCAAGTGCCGGCAGCAGCAGCAGAGCGGCAGCGGGGCCAAGAGCCGGCCGGCCAAGAAGAAGTCATCGCCGGCTCGCGAGAGCTCGGGATCAGAGAGCAGCGGGCAGTTCACGCCGCCGGCCGCGGCCTCCAGCTCAGCCTCCTCGTCCTCCTCCAGCTCTGCCTCGTCGGCCCCAGCCGGTGCCCCGGCATCCCTCAGCACCCCGGCGTCGTCCATCTGGAGCCCAGCGTCCATCTCTCCCGGTGCGGCACCAGCAGGGGTGACGGTGCCCGAGCCCCTGCCGCCGGCAGCCGCGTCCTGCATGCAACGTGCCGGCCCCACCGCCGCCGCTGCCTCCACCAGCTACCCCGTGTCCTACGGCCAAGGCGGGGGGTACGGGCAGGGTTACCCTGCGCCGCCCTCCTCGTCCTATTTCGGAGGCGTGGATTGCAGCTCCTACCTGGCGCCCATGCACTCCCACCACCATCCCCACCAGCTCAGCCCCATGGGGCCCTCCTCAGTGCCCGGCCACCACCACCACCACCCACTGAGCCAGAGCTCAGGCCACCACCACCATCATCACCATCACCACCACCACCAGGGTTATGGCAGCACCGGGCTGCCCTTCAACTCTTCCGACTGCCTGGACTACAAGGAGCCTGCCGCTGCCGCCGCTGCCTCCTGGAAGCTCAACTTCAACTCCCCCGACTGCCTCGACTACAAGGACCAGGCGTCCTGGCGCTTCCAGGTCTTGTGAGGGGCTGACCGCCATCCCCCCCACAAGCTGCCGTGGACCCCTCGCCCAGGGTCTTCCCACCACCTCCCGGGCAGGACTCTGGCTCCGGCTCTTCCTCCGTCTCCTCCTCTCCCCTCTTCATTTGCAGTGGTGATGCCCCGGGGTGGGGGTCCTGCCACCCCCATCTCTACTGACTGATATTTATTTGCTTCCTGCACCCCTCCAGCGGGTTTATTATAATTATTATTTTTTTAAACGCAACAGAAGAGGAGTTTAAAAAAGAATAATAATAATAATAGTAATAATAATGCAAAGCCGAGCGTCTCCCCTGCTGCCCCCCGGGCAGAGGCGCAGGCTGGCTCCTGCCCTTCCGGTGCCCCCCCAGATTCAAGTGGGGACCCTCACACCCTCCTCCGGGTGCGGGAGCCCCCCGGCTCGCCGGTCCTGTACAGCCTCTTGCCGCTGGGAGCGGTGGGATCAATGTAAATACTGGGTCCGTTCCAGTGACCACGATTGTTTTTAGTTGATGCTGTCGGGTTGGCGTTTCTCTAGAGTCTAACATGGAGCAGAACTTTAAAAAAAATCCTTTTTTTTTTTTTTTTTTTTAATCTTAATTTTAATTTTTTCCCCTAAAAATGAACCTTTCCCTATCTTGTGTCCTCCGTCCATCCTCGAGGGCTCTGCGCGAGCTCAGCCGTGCCGTCCGGGGGGGGGGGCTGGGGTGTGTGTTGGGGCGGGGGAGCAGCCCAAGAGGAGGCAAAGGGGGAGGGAAGGGCTGCCCAGCTGATCCGCAGCCTGCAGACCAAAAACACCCGGAACTTTTGGACAAAATAATGAAAAAAACAATAATAAACAGGAAAGGAAAAAAAAAGAGCAGCTGAAAGAAAAGTTTTGGTTTGTTTTGTTCGGGGGGGTTACAGGGGAAAGAGGCTCTGATTTGGTGGTTGGGGGGCACGACTTCTTGGGAGTGTGATTTTGGGTTGGTGGGGTGGGTGTTGTTAGCCCCTTCTGTTGGTTGGTGCGTTTCCACGGGTCCGGGCTTCAGCCCTGCGTGCCCAGCTGCCCACCTGCCCCAGGCTGGGGCTTTCCAGAGGCTTTGCCCCATAGCAGGAGAGGGGCCGTGTACATGTGATTTTTGATGCCGTAACCCCACACTTACCCCTTCAACTGTAAGGCAACCCCCTCCCCCCCCCACTTCTTTCCCCACTCCAATAAAATCCAAACTAATAAACGTGGTGGTGTCCTGTCCTCCTTCCTCCCACCCGCCTCCTCCTCTTCCCCAGGGAACTTCCTTCCCTGGGAAATACTTCCTGATGGGTCCCAGCAGGAGGGGGGTTGTGTGTGTGATGAGTTTGTGAGTGCTCTGGAGGGGAGACCCGCCGCTGCCCCTGCAGGTGTGGGCTGGGGGCCTGCTTTGATGTGAGTTGATGCTGTTAATTGGTAACTGATTTATTGCTGCACCGCTGTGCCGGTGGGACGCACGGGAAGGGCAAATGCTGCCTGAAACAGCAATCCCCCTGCACCCGGTGGGGCAGCCCCACCAACCTGGGACCCACAGGCAGGCCTGGGGGGTGGTGGGGTGCAAGGGCCACTGAGACATACAACCGTGCAGGCAGACCTCTGCCCCCCTGTGCAGGCAGGTGCAGGGAGGGATGCTCGGCGTTCGAGCCTCCAGCCCTTGCTCTCGGCAGTTCCCTCCTCAGCTGCTGCCGGCTGCGTCCAGATGGGGAAGAGAGGGGATGAATTATTTCTAGTGACAATCTCCCCCTTCTTCTTCCCCCCAGACCCTCCCTGCAGTTGGAGGCTGCCTGCTGGCGTTGTGGCCATTCCCACTACACACACGGCCCCTCTCCTGCTATGGGGCAAAGCTGCTGGAAAGGGGCAGGTGGGCAGCCAGGCACGCAGGGCTGCATCCCTGACCCATGGAAACGCACCGACATTCCCACATTACCACGGGACCAGGGCTGAGGTGACCACTGCTACCGTGCTTGGGCCATCGGTGCGCTGATGTGTGAGTGTGGAGCACCCCCAAATTCCCCTCCTCCTCCCTGTGGTCTTGCAGCAGTGCCCACTGCACCCGAGAGCTCTGTGGCTGGGCCATGTGCTCCCATCCCTCGTGTCGAGGAATCACTGTTCTCCTCTGCGGAGGGTTTGCACCTCTCTCCATCCCCCTGAGCATCCTTGTGGTGGGCAAATAGGGCTGGGAATGTGCTGCTGTGGCTGCTGGGAAATGGGCTGCAGTGGGAAAAGCAGTGGGGTTCAGCCCCAGGAACCACAAGCTCTGTGCATCCTTCCAGGGTCAAAGCCACAGCACAGCCCCAAGGCGGGGAGTGACCAATGGCCTCATGGTGCAGTAGGGAGAGCTGAGAGAGGATGAGTGCAATTGAGTTGATTTCAGTTGTTTTTTCTTTAAATGGTTCTTTTCCCCATTAAGTGTGCACACACACACTCACACACACATATATTTATTATTATGTATATGTGTGTATGAAAAAATTGTTCTCTCCCGCAAGCACTAGTAAGGCACTCATCACACCAAAGGGTGGCTGTAGAGGCAGTTTGAGGGAGGACCACACATGCTGGTTCTGGGTGCCACCAGCCTGTGCATCCCCAAGCCCTTCATTTAAAGAGAAAAAGTTGTTCACAGCCCTTCAGGAGCTGTAAAATGAAAACAAAACTAAAAATCCATGCTCAGCCCAAAGTGAATCCTCCCATGTTCAGTGAGCACCTGGGGTACAGGAGCCGGCAGCTGTGTAACACCCACCCCACACACTGCATCCTCCTTATGAACATTGCTTCGTTAGAACGCAGTAAATCAGTGCTGCTGAGACATACAGCCAAGAGGGGAGCCTGAGCTTCATTTTCGGTGTTGTGGTCCTAAACCTCTTCTCCAGCCAGTCCCCTGCAGTGCAGCTGGGCCGAGGGTCTGCTTCAGGGTCGGGGACTCTGAGGGGTTCTCGTGTCCCCCAGGTAAATGCCCCTGTTTTGGGCACTCAGCAGCACCCCGTGTCACAGCCCCATGGCTTCTCCTGCATCCCCCACGACACAGGGTGGTCTTTGTCCTGTCCCACCAGTACAGACCTGGAGCACAGCGGTGGGGCCAGTCGCTGAGCTCTGCTGGAGGCAGGGGCACAGAGGAGACTCTTTGAGATCACATCAAATAATGGCTTTGCCCTCACTGCTTGGCTTCATTTTTCATTTTTTTTTGTTGCATTTCTCTCAGCCCTGGAGTTTCTGCAAAGGTCGGCACACACAGCTCCATCGGGAACAGCCGGCTTGCTGGAAAACAACTAAAACTGCTTATTTCTGTCCTCTTATATCAGGGAGAACCCCTTGGAAAAACAGCAGCAATGCCCTTCGAGGAGCCGAGCGTGGTCAGGTTTCATCCTCCCTCCACCGCCTATGGGTGGGTGCCAGCAGCATGGGCAAGACGTGACTTGTGCTCACCGGCGGGTGAGCATGGACCAGGGAGGGTCATGGCCAGGTCTGGGGGGCCCCAGCGCTCCCCCACTTTCCTAGCCAGGGCTTGGCTGGCGGAGCAGACATCTTCCACTGCGGGCTTCCCTGAGGCTGGAAGAGGCGCTGCCGCCCGGAGCACAAGTCTTGGCAGGTAGAGCAGCGCTGGCTGCGGTGCCCGGCTCTGGGAGCAGGCGCCGGCGGGATCGGGAAGCCTGGTTGTGAAAGGGCTGCCTGTTTCACTGGGTGATGGGTGCCTCGCGTCTGCAGCAGGAACGCTGCTGGGTGCACGGCTGCTATTAGTGGGTTTGTTTCTTTGCTGCTGGACCATGGCACTGCCAGTGGCCCAGGGGCTGATGCTGAGATGCCGGGTTACCTGGCTCAAGCCTGGTGAAGCTCCTGCTTCGCGTCTGTGCGGCAACTGCCTCCACACAGAGTGCCTGCTCCAAAGGCATTTGGTGCTTTCCTGCCTGTAAGTCAAGCACCAGGACTTTGTGGGATGCGAGGGGAAGAGGGGCAGAGGGCGAGAATACAACCCAGCTTGGGCTGTCATTAAGTTTTTATGCTTGGTGCTCATAGACCTGAAATAATTTATGATCCATTTGCTGTTATGGGAGTATATGCTCCGAGTAGAGCCCCTGCTTGTAAATCTTTGCTCGTAAACCCTCCACATGTGCCAGGGAGCTGTGACAGGCAATGATCTGAATGCCTTTAGTGGTACCTGGCTGTGCAGAGGTGGGCAGAGGCTCGGCGGGATTGCTGCTGGCCAGGGTGGCCAATTGCCATTTTGGGTGCAGGATGTGCTTTGGGGACACAAAGTGCTACGGCTGAGCATGAATTAAATTGTCATTAAAATAATACCATAAATTGTAAGTTTCAGGAGCCGTACCCACTAACACAGCCGACTACAGTTATTTTATAGGCAGCCTTTCTGGCTGGCAGGGTGCGAAGAAAACAGATGATCCCAGCTGAATCGGGAGCGATCGCACCCGACCATTTGTGGTTTTCCCTGTGCTCACCTCTACATTAGCCAGTGCATGCTAATTCATGCACTTTGAGTAGCAATTAATGCACAGAAATTCCCACATCATTGCTTCCAAACCTGTTTTGAATTTGTCAAAAAAACCCTGCCAGTGTAACTCAAGTCCCAGCTGAGGAACCTGCTATACTGGAGAGTTCTTCCTTCGTGTTGTATGGTTGAGCACAAAAAGCTGCAGGGAAGAAGAGTGGAAATGGTCAGAGGGCTGAAGCTAAAGGAAACCATATGCCTATTTCCAGCTAAATCCCTATTCAACACTCCCTTTCTTTTTTTTTTCCAGGACAGACAGGACTTTTCCAAGAAAGCCATGAGAGGACTTTTTTTTTTTTAATGAAAAACTGTGATTTTAGGAAATGGCATTCTAGATCTTATGTACATTTCTAGTATCACTTCCTGTATATTTTTAAGCTGAAATCCTCTTAGCATGCAAAGTAAATAGATTATGATATACTGAAGGATTAAGAATCACTGTCTGGTGTCAGATTAATCCCTCATATAGACCATCATTTGTACTGACAGAAATATGGCTGCAATTCAGCAAAAAGCTGTACGGCGAAGCAGCGCATCGCAGCATCTTAGGCAGAACCCCTGCCCAATTGCTGCGCTCCATCCTTGCGCTGTGTGTTTTCCAGAAAATAAATATAAAGCCACAGGACATTAAAGGTGTGTTCCCTTCCTAGTGCCACACGAAGCGCACCAGTATAGGCACGGCGCTGTGCAGGGAGGTGGTGCAGCAGCCTGCTCTGTTTTGAAGCTCTCTGTATTAATTTTTCCCGGTTGAGTGTACAAAACTCTACACATTGCAGCCCCTTTGCTCCCTTCAAACCACAAAGCAAAAAGGGTCCTTCAAATGTACTCATGGAAAGGTGCTGGTGGGGATGAAGTGCTGAAATGGCCTGGGAGTTTTTCTGGTGTGATCAGAATTGCCTGTTGTGGAGTAGAAGTTCAGCAGGATTTTGGCTCGTAGGGGAAATGACAGTGAGCACGGATATACTTTATTTGGGTGAATGCAGAACAATTGTCAATAAAATACTTCTAATGGCTTGTGTTGTTGACTTTTTTACATTGTGCTTTTATTTTCAGTCCATTCATTGTACAGATTCGTTCGTCATACAAAGCTGATTTCAAGAAGCTCGCCAGTTTTGGGTTGCAGCCATCCAAAAACTCCAGCTTAACCCACATGCATGCCTACGGTAGAACTCAAAAATCTGCATCAGTGCAAGCTGCACCTGATCAAATGGTGGGAAGAAAGACCTGCAGCGATGCTCACCCTTCTCTTCACTGACAGAAAAACTAGAAGGCTGAAACAGGTTACGTTACCTTCTCAGTGCATTTTCTCTTCGTGGTTAGAGGAGGCAGATTAAAATCTGGACTCCAATGGAATGATGTTTAAGAGGCTCCGCATCTTTTTTTCAAGGCAAAATAATGGTTATTCAACTAAGATGATATATCTAGATATGAAAATTGAGAGCATTCTTTGAAAAATGCTGCCGACTGTGAAAGGCTGCTCTTTCACAGAGGTATCCTGAGTGAAGATGTTATCTGCTGGTATCTCAACAGGACGGTTTTCAGAGCCTGAAGTGGAAATTCAAATCTGCTTCCAAGGGAAGATTGTTAAAATATATAATGCATAGAGAATTACAGACTTTCTCCTGAGAAGTTTACGGATTCATCCAAGAACCACCCCCCAAATTCTTCAGTGTTGCATTTGTATGGTAAATGGGGAGCTGTAATTACTAGCTTTTTTGATGTCTTTGAATGACAGAATGAAAATGTCACCAAACTGCCCTCCATAAGCACACATGGAGCAGTGTGTGCATGGACACGTCTGTGCTAACTCAGAAATAGTTCAGAGGTCTAAGGGCAGACTATTTTCTAAGTCTGGTTTTTCATCTTCTGCTACTGGTTGGCTCCAGGGCTGGCTGGAAGTTCACTGAAGGATTTCCTGTGAACTTCACTACCTTGGTGAAGAAGTTTCCCCTTCTTTGCTTTGGCAGCTCAGTCACACCAGCCCCAAGTGTATGACTTTGAGAGATCCGCTGTCTCCAGTCTCCTGTGGGGCACAAGACAGGCAGGATCAGGCATGCTTCAGGACAGGAGCTGAGGGATGGAAGCATGGGTATTGAAACACCATCCCAACCCATGGAGAAGAGACAATTGCAGATACTGTCCCCTGTTTGGCTCAGGAATGGAGGATGCAGCCCTAAAGTGTTGGAGTCTGTTTTATGTCCTTTTGCAATGCCACTCCCCTGCTGCTCTTGGGGAAACCAGGGGCTGCAGCTCCAGTGACTGCTCATGATGTCCCATGAGGTGGATAATATGGGGTTGGGATGCAAGGGGATGGGAGCTCCACCTGCCCCTGAGCACCCTTCCCCAGGACTTGGAAGCTTATTGGCAAAAGTGAAACTTTAGATTTTTGTTACCTTTTAATTAAAACGCACTGCAAACACCACAAGGCTGGCTTAACACCAGTGGGTAGAGAACCAGCTTTTCAAAGTTACACAGGGATACGGCAGTTTGCATTCCTCATACAATACAAATACATGATTTCAGCACAAATTCCCTTTCTGAGCTCTATGCCTGTGCAGGGTAGAAATCCCAGCCCTCTGGTTTTGCAAAGGCCATGGCGATGGGGAGAATTTGTGCCACAAATAGAGGTTATTTCATAAGGCAGGCTAGCGTGCCTGCGAAATGCATGAAATACTTTGCCTTGGAAAGTGCTGTAGTCTAGTGAGTCATTGCTTTCTTTTGAATTACAGATGAGTAGCCAGCCCTTCATCATGCAAAGAAAAAAACAAGGTGTGGAGCTGAAAACAAAGGGAAACGTGTGTTTGTCCTGCCTTGGAGGGCAAGACACGCTGGCTGGTGTGGGAAGGCGGGGTGGGCTCGGCCCCAGAAGGTGGCTGTCAGGGCTGTGTCAGGCTGTGGCAGCACTGACGAGGGCAGACGGGACTCATGTGAGTGACTCCTGCTCCTTACCTTCAGGAAAGAGGGAAAAAAAAATCCCTTAACTCTTGCAGCTTCATGAGGAACCTTTACCAGAGCAGCAGCTCCATCTCATGGCATGTGCATTTCACCACAGAGATAGACATCACCCTCTGAAACAGCATTCCTGTGTTCAACCTCCCTACCTCAGCGTGGAGGGAGCAGTAAAGTGTGACAGCTCAAAACAGGCGCTGTGTGGACACGGAGGTTTGTCTCCAGCCCACTGTTTGGAGCTTCCCTTGCAGGGAGATGGCAGGAGGTGGCTCTGCCGTTATACGACCCCCTGTTAATTCTCGAAGGCAGCTTAAAGATGATGACAAAGCACCCCCAACGTCCCATTCAAACCAGTGCTTGTGTCCCAGACTCCACCGCGTTATTCCAGTGTTGAAAGTAGAAGCACAGCTTCACTGCGAAGACTGCTCCTTAGGCAAGTGTCTTCAAGGAGGTTATGAGGTGCCTTACTCTGTAGCAGCCCCCATCGGCTGTGTGCATGTGCCTCGGCTTCTGGGTGGCTGCAAGCTTTCTGTGGGCTCTCCTTGCTCTCTGAATGGCACTTGTTGGAGTCACCAAAAACCAGGAAAGATTTGTCTCTGCAGGGGAGCCACAGCAGTAAATCCTTGCAGAGCATCAGCAGCTGAAGGTAAGGGGTGGCTCTTTTTAACCTAGAGCCCTGCCTGATGCAGAGGGGCTTCTGCTGGGCAGGTGAATGCAGGCTGGAGAAAAAAAAAATCCACATTATGTCTGGGTTCCAGGTTGTCTGGGCAACTGTTCAAGGCTCAGGGTCCTGAGTGCATCAGGAAGGTATCTGACCTGGGTTTTGTGATTCGTGCTTCGTGCCTCTGTCCGGGGAGAGGTTAACAAGAGCCCGGTTCTGCAGACCTACCTAGCTGCTTCTTAAAAAAACCACTTTTAAAAAGAACTGTTTGCAAACCTCTCTGGTCACACTAAAGACACAGTGGTGTCGTGTGGGAAGCCTGTGATGTGGCATCAAGCTTGTAGAGGTGTTTAATGTTAATCAAAGGCTGAGGAGCGATAATGACTAGAACCCTCTTCTGTCATCTGCATCTTTTCTGATGTAGCATCCCAGCAATAAAAGATGCTGTAGTAATTGGACAAGAGTTGATTTTCACAGCACAGGAAGAGGGCTGTCCAGGAGCAAGGGAAGCCAGGATTGCAGTGCTGCTGCCTATGGTAATGAGCACCTAGTCATCCAGAGAAGGAAAGCATGAATATCCTGACAGGAGAGCATCTACTTGTGCCCTGGAGAGCTCAGATCGTGGGGCTTTGCATGGTAATGATGTGGTCCCGCTCCAGCAGGCAAAGGGAGGAGCAATATGGGAAGGCACACCCTGTAACTGAAAAGCCACAAAGGCATCTTGGACCTGCAGGTATAGCAGGATAGAGGCAGTGGTTTGCTCGGGCTCCTCAGGTCTGAGGCAGAATGGAGGATCCCTTTAGCCTCCTGGAGTGGGAAGTACAGAAAAACCTCTTCCCTGTGCTGCTGTATTGCTCCCAGAAGGCTGCGCGTTTTCTCCTGGGAATTATTCTCAAGGGCATGATGAAGGTGGGAGAAGATGAAAGTGGGAAAGAGAGCAATGCCACAAAGGAGCAATGCCATGGGGAATTATCTCAAACATCTGTTTTTTCAGGCAGAGACTGTCTGATTCCAGACTGCAGGAATGGCTACGTGGAAGCACATGCCTGTTAGGATCCATAGGTACTGCTTCGTTTCACTGGAAGTGCCTTGTTTCCCTTGGCTAGCATCACATAAAAGCTTTCTGGATGATAGGTATTTAGCCGAGTGTTAACATAATAAAACAACCATTTGGTAGCTGCAAGGCACCATTGGCTTCAGCATCTCAAATTGCCATAAATCAGATCAGTTTCCAGTCCAGAAACAACAGAGCAGTTGCCATTCACATTTACCAAAGGGTCTTATACTGAGGTGGGTGACCAGGTGACCAACCTAGTTTGCTCAAGATTATCAAATCCCAGAATAACGCAGACCTCTGGAGACCACCCTGCTCAAAGCAGCAAGAGCAGGCTGGGTTTCGACCAGCATGGCCCTCAAGGCTACCTCCATCCTATCTCTAGCCTTTCCTGGAAGACAGAACTGACCATGAACATCAAATCCTGCCCCTACCAAATATCGTGGATGGAATGTTCACTTCTCGTTCCATGCACCCCTCTGGCTTGAAGAGCTGTACCCAATCAAGCCATGCACATGGTCAGAATAACTGCAGTTTATCCTTGCTTCTCTAAGAGCTACTTACGCTGTCCCACCTTCAACTTCAGTGATGGGCTCCTCTGATGGGCCAGTGGCGAACACAAACCAGTTTGGCAAAGCCACATAGTCTGTGTTTGTCCTACCTGCAGCAGCCCTTGCCCATCACCACCCATGCACCAAGGGACCGCAGGACCCATGTTCCCTGTGCTAGCACAAAGCCACCAGCACTGCTGGGGTCACGCGGGTGGTCCCCATGGTAGCATGGTCTTGCCTTTGAGACATCTCTTGCATGCTGCAGGGCTAACGCTTTCCCTTAGAAACCAAATCTTGTTTAACTGCTTGAGTGTTGCTTGGCTGTGTGACAGCCTTGCTGCTCTGGCAGGTGACTGGGAACATTTTGTTGCACGATCTTTACAGTTTCAGGGAGGAGAAGCTTCCTCATAGCTGAGAGCAGCAGCAAGCAAGGAAGATGCACATTACAATAGACTTACAGAAGATAGGGTCTGTGTTGGACACCTCCTCACTGAGGCCTCCATGGCCATTTGCACTGGGAATAGGTCACTTCTGGCTTCGGCCTTTTGCCAACAAACTGGCAAAGGGAACGAAGCAAATCCTGCTGTGGGCAGCTGCAGACATCTTCCTGCGGAATCGACTATGCAAGAAGGGCTGGGTTTTGGGTGTGCTCCCCTTGTGTGGCTCCGAGCCCGGTATTGTGAGGGTTCCCTCTGAAGCAACATGTGGGAAGTGGTGGTGGAGGGACACCAGCTGTGGGGAGCAGGAGGGTGAAAGTGGGACCTTGGATTTGGGCTGTCCATCAATGCTGGCATTGATGCAGCAGGCTGGTGGTGGTGTCCAGGTGTAGAGCTGCTGCTGATGGCAGTTTTGGGTTGGAAATTGGAATGGGATGAACTGAAGGCAGAGGTGGGTCCAGCTAGAAGGAGCTGCTTTGGTTTGCTGGGTGCTGTTTCCTGCATTGGTACCCAACTGCTACAAGATTTCTGAATTTACACACACCATTAAGTCAGGACAGAATGGCCTTGAAAATGTATTCCCAGAAGTGCAAAGATAGTGTTGCGTGGATGGCTTTTCTACTCTGAAACAAACTGGTGCGTGCAACAGGCTCCCCCTTACCCAGCAAGTCATTTCCCTTTGCATTCCATCGGAGCTGCTGCCTCCTTTCCCTCCATCCTGCAAGAAACTGAGCAGCTCAACAAGGATGCAGGTGCACAAGCAGCTCTGCAGTGTATGGAGAAATCAGGGCACCTACACTGGGGCTGCAGAGGTCACACTTTGACCCACCAGCTTTTAGCAATGGTGACTGCTCAGCTGCAGTAACTTTTTGGAACCAAAGGATGCTTTAACCACTCCCTTGTGTAAGTCCTTAATGATGAGACAGCAAAGCTTTCTTCTTTGTATCACTCTCATTATACAGCCTATATGTGTGTGCTTATGGATTTTATTGTGATAGTCCAGAGCTTTCAAATGAACTTCTCAGTTTTTGTTAATTCAGCTGCTTAGGTGAGGCAAGGAGCATCTTACACACAGCTCAGGGAAGGAGTAGATAACTTCTGGATGACCCAGCTGCAAACCTAGGAATCCTACCAACGTCTCCAGACCATCACTGCTGCTATATTTTACTTTACTCCGTATCCTGAGGCCACCAAAGCCATCAGAAGGCCATCGAAGACACCCTTTTGAGTATGGGGCTTTCCTGCCAGCTGGACCACAGCACAGTGAACTCTTGTCACCTGCTCCCCAGCCTTTCCCCATCCTCCACCCGGAGATAATGCGCAGGGGCCCACGGGAGGCTGCAGAGGTGGGGCTGGCGCATGTTGTTCTCTAGTGCTTCGGGACTGGTAGAACAGCTCTTAGAGCACGATTTTACTTGGCACGGGCTGGTTTTGTAATGAAAGAAATAAGTAAGTAAGTGCCATCCTGCTCTGCTGGGAGGTTGAAGCATTTCCTTTCTACTTTTTTTTTTTAATGATCTATTTGTACCGAGGCCAAACACTGAATGCTTCAGCCTCAAAAATAAAAGTTTCAACAAGAACTGTAATTGGGAGGAAGCTACAATACAGGCACTCTTGTGCCTTTATCCATGCTGCCACGAGACAGCTTGGATTCTATTCTGTTCTATTCTATTTCATGTTATTCTATTTTATTTAATAATTTTATTAATTTTATTTTATATTTTCATGTTTTTCCTTTAAAGTGGAACTGAAGGAGTGCGTTGGTGCTGCTGACTCATCAGCTCTGGAGACAGGCTCGCCCTGTGTACGCACTCTATACGCACCCCCACTGAGACTCAAACACCTGGGGCACCAAACCAGGTTGGGAGGTAATAACCCCACAGAGATGGGGGATAGCTGGTGGATTTGGAGGAAGAGGTAGGGTCTTGAAGCGCACAGTGAGGTCTTCTTCTCCTGTTCTGGTGAGCACAGGAGCAACCGAGCCAGCATGGAAGAGGGAGGAGGACATAGGACTGGAGGCTGGCAGTGGGGGAAGGGATGGTCTACCTTTTTTGGCAGCACCTTAAAATCAGCTTAAAGCAATCATGAAACCATAGGGTAGTATTTCACCCCTTTTTACTGTGGTCTCATGCATGAAAGCGCCAATACAAGCGCCGGCTAGCTCATGTAAGACGAACATGGATGGAGGACAATAAGTTCTTTCTTAGGTCCCATCCAACAAGCATCAAATAATACTAATTTTCAAGTTTTATGCGCTGCGCTCAGCTGAAAGCCGCAGACGAAGCCTCACTCTAGCGGTGTGGTATAGGAGCATTTCTACCAATTTCAGTGAGAGCCCTGCAGGCAGACAGCTTGCAGGGACAGGCTCGGGGAGTTTCAGGAAGCTGCAATATAGAGTAAATAATAATAAGCAGAAATAAAAAAATAAATCAGAAATGGGTTACCTGCTCTGAAGGAACTGCTCTCAGATTTCCTGCAAGAAAGAAAGATCACCATGTTATTTACATTCCAGTTACCTCACTGAAAAACCCCAACAGACAAGGGTATGGTGTTAGGTAACTCTTTCACTTTTACGATAGGACGCAGCTATTTTATATCCTGTTATTCAATGGATGAATTACAATTTTTAATATGTTGTTTATACAAGTCCATACATGTGGGATGCGAGAATTCCCTCAAACAGTACATCAAGTTAAAGCAAAAGTGATTTTTGTGGATAGGGCAGTGTGGAGGCATGAGGCTGGCGAAGGATTGGGGTTCCCGCATTGTCTCAGCTCTGTGGGGAGCTGTAGCAGGTGTGGGATGCACACAGTGGGACAGAGCTGTGGCTGCAGCACACCTGCAGCAGGGTAGCTGTGGGGTGGTGAGCTGCCTGCCTGTTTGTCTTGTGTCCGGGAGGTCTTTGCAGCCCGTGTGCTGTCAGGTTGCTGCTGGAGGTGCTTGAGGATGAGGCTTCATGTTACAGCTTGAGCCGAATTAACAGCTGCCAACATCAAAAAGAAGTCCTGCTGCAGGCAATGTGCTTCTGCCCCTCACTTGGTGCTGTCTGTGGTGTTCCCTGGTCCCCAGGCAAAGCAGTTTTGTTCAGGGGATGGGCAAAAGCCAACAGGAAAGAAAACAATCTTTTTTTGGTTGGATTAATATGGTGGCGGTCCCCTGCGTGATCCCATGAATGTGAGTAAAAGAAGGTTGGAAGGGGGGAGTAGAACCTTCCCATTTTGATGGTGGCAAGTTGCTAGTTCAGCTTCACCGTAATGTGGAAGCGCACCTGTAGCTGGTTTGTTTGAAACTATCTATTTCAGTTGTGGCTATAGGAACCACAGTTATGTCTTGACTTTCCGTGTCAGTGTGCCTGGAGTCTGGCTCAGTTCCTGCATACCTGTCAGTATAGTGATGGGACACCTGGACAAGGCAGAAGATAAAAATCCTCGTTTCACCCCTTATGCAAATACACCGACATATCCCTGCCTGGCTGACTTTACAGGATGACTCTTTAACCATGACTTTCTTGCGCTGGACTACTCCTCTATTACACTGTTGCACTACTTTGATGCTGCTACAGCAGAGATACTGAACTCTGCCAAAGCAAGACAGCCACATCTGTTTACTCCAGAGCCATCTGCAGAAGTAGTGTAAAACACTGCTTCACAAGCCATGCAACTGGTGAGGCTCTGCTGCTGGCCATTGCACACTGAGTAAGAGAGCAACAATGACCAAAACTAATAAACATTTTCCCTGTCTTTGTCAAAACATGAATTGCACTGCAAGATAAGGAGATTCCAATAATCAGTTGATACATTCTATGTTGTGGGAGCTGGTAGCTGAGTCCTTATGCCTCTCCCTGCTAGGTATACACAAACCAAACTCACTCCGCAATACCACTGCCTTATTTAAATTCCCAGATCCAAATTCTTTCTCAAGATATCAATCACCATTATTTCTAGCTTCATCCCTTCATGCATATTTGAAAGAGATTTCTTCTCTTACCTTCCTGGCTGCTGGAAAAGGGTTTCCTCACCAGGGAGCTGGCGCGGCCGTCCGCTCCAGGCTTACACTCAGTGTCCTCTGCCTGTCTGCGGCTGGTGGGTCTTTGAAAACAAAACAGAAGTGATAGAAGGGGAGGGAGCAAGAAGAGTTGGGGAGACACTGCATAGCAGAGCAAGGCTGTTTTGTTTGCTTTCTATCTTTTCAAGTACACAGCAGCCTGTGTAATTCCCTGGCTACAAACTGTAGCTCTCTTTTATCAGATGCCAGTACGTTTGTTGACTGAGTGTCACCAGGATCGCTCATTTGGCCGTGCAGTCGCTCTAGCACCATCCTGTCATTCAAAGACACAGTGTAAAGCTGGTGTTTTTTGGAGCAATTAATGTTTTGTTAAACAGGACAGGCTGGGGATGTGCAATACACGTAGCGCACACGCCTGGCACTGCAGCAGGCAGTCGGGCGGATGCTGGGAGATGAGGATGTCAGACCCAAAAGGCAGCACTGATTTTCTGTGATTTTTCAGTTAAGCCTTGTCCCCACACCACTTCCATCATTGAAATCCAAGTTGCAAAGGAGCTGCAGGGAGGAAAACACCAGGCATGCGTTACAGAAAATGCAGATGGGGTTTTTTGTTCCTTTTTTTTTTGGTTTTGCCAGTCTCGGTTTCTTCACTCATCATTAACCTCTGCTTATGTAGGCGTGTGGAAAGACAATCCATTCCCAAGGCAGTGGAACTGGAAGTCTGGAGGCCATCTTGTGCTATTTTGGCTTGCCAACTCACTGCTCGTCCTGCCATCTGCAAATTGCCAAGTGCCTGGCAAAGTCCAAGGGAGGGTTGCCTTCAGCGAGAATGAGTCAAACAGAGAAAATAAACTAAACCTCTCCTACCAGGCCAGCTGGGAATCCCTCAGGGGGGAATTCTCCTCATTTGGGTGGCTTTTCCTCCTCCATGGACATAGTCATGTTTAACTCAAGTAGTGTTTTCCTCAAGGGTGGCTTTCAGATATGACAGCAGTGTAGTTGTGAGAATGAAAATGTGAACGCTTTTGTGCAGCGTAATTTGTTAAATGCCCAAGTGTAAAATCTCACTCGGCTTTGATAATACAAATAATACACTCCAGGCATAAAGAGCCCTTTATTACTGATGAGAACATAAATAATTAAAGAAAAATCTCAGATTTTCCCTGTGCCTTTGTCTTCACACTGCCAGTCAGGAGATAGCTATTCAAGCAGCTGGGCATCTATAAAGCAACTAAAAGCAACTCTTCTCATCAGCTTTCCTGAAAACATTTTTAAGCTGCAGTAATGCAACTCTCTCATCACACTAAGCTTTATTGGTTCAGCAAAAGAAACTAAGAAACTTCATTGGAGACCAGATTATGCTGGTTGCAAAATCAGAGGGATCCTTCTGCTCTTCGACCCCATTATCTCCTCTGTAGTGTCTTGATCAGCTTTCTTACACACAGCCTCAGATTCTGCCGAGACCTGCAAATTGCTTTTTTGGCTGCCAAATTGCCATAACCCGTCTATTTTTATGTTTTAAAAGAGCTTAAAACCCTCCATCCTCTTTGGATGTGTCTTTAAAATTGCCCAGTACTGGGAGGATTTCATGTATATCCGAAGGCTTAGAAGAAGATGTTACCTCTACTGAGCTTCTAGTTTTACAGTCAACAGACATGAAAAGCCCAGCGGGGATAAAAGGAACTTAACCAGTTCTGTCTAATGCATATAAATCTACCTAAGAGCTCAAGGCACTGGAAGTACTCAATGAGCCACATTTATCTCAGCCTAAGATACAAAAATGGGTCTTCAGCTCACATGCCACATGTCCCATTTTGATGCCAAGTTAATGTGAATTAAGAGACTGAGATGAATAAACAAGGTCAGTCTGGGCTGGGCCAAGTTGAATCAATGTAAAATAATTGTCAGTATTTTCTGTCAGCAATGCTGGTTTATCTTGGCCCGGGATTCTCAGCACTATAGATTATAAAATGTTTTCAGTGGAACAGTTGGCAGACATTTTATTGATTTTGCTTTGTTTTGTGAATGTTGGAAAAATTTCCATTAAGTGTACACGCTGCTCATGTGATGAAGCCAAACTGCTTTTCCAAATTTCTCTTTCTTCAAGTGTGCGATCGTGTTAATACGTTAGCAATCTGATTTAATCAAGAGGACCTTTGTCTGGAATCAAGAGGCCATAGAGCACACCTTGATGTGTCTCAAGTACTTACGGGCTAATAAGGGTCAATTTTGTATTTTCAAGGTGCTGTACACACACTGAGTAATTAATTTGCCCAACGTCCCTTTGAAGTTAGTAACATATTATCTCAGTTTTACAAATGTAGAAATTGAGAGTGCAACTTCGCACAGAGCCACACATATTTATTTGCCTGCTGTCGCGTTCTGGATGCATGTGAAGCTCCTGTTGCCTTCACCAGGGCTGGGCAATGGCAAAGTATGAGAAGGGAGGGTGCAGCAACCAGGCAGGATTAGCACTGCTGAGCTGCTGGATTCCACTTCCGTGATGAATTTCCTATACCACATCGCCTTTTAATAGAGTTACTTTGGAACTGAAAATTGCTAGGACGGATAGAGCAGCTTGTAGGATTACTCCTGGACCCACAGCAGACTGTATTTCTCAGCCTATATTCCTGCTATTTTAAGACCAGGTTTGCTTTGTGGTTAAAGAAGACTTCTGAAAATAACAACTAATGGTGGAAGAACACAAGAGGTGTCATAATGGTGATGACTGCTTATTTTGTTTAATTGCACATCACAGTGGAGTAAGTAAGAAATCTGCTTAATGGGTTCTTTACATAACATACCAAAGGGGATACAGTGGGATAAGTCTAATTCTCTCTCTCTTTACACTGATTTAATAACTAATATATATGGATATGAAACTGGCATGCAGTTTTAACGCTTCCTGAGGTTTGATCAATTATGCTACTGAATCGAAATATATAAACATGCTTCTGAGCTTAAATAAAAGACTTCTATAAAAGTAGAAAAACATGTGTTTTAAGTACATAAGCAACAGGAAAGTTTTATGATAAAAACCACTGTGATGATATATACTTTTGCCTTCTATCCTAATCACGTGTATTGAAAGCAGAGATATCCCAGTGAAAATAGGAGTAGTTCTGGGTTGAGGGATGGGGACAAGGTGGATGGAAAAAGCTAAAAAAAAAAAAGCCTCCAACCCAGCTTCACATACCTCCTGACACTACCAACAAATGGAAGATATTTAAACCCTCAATGCATTATAGTATGGAGACAGAATGACGCATTGACCGCAGTTACCAGTGCCAATGGCTGAGGAGTGAGTGCACCCATATAGCTCTGTTCTGACTCTTATGTGCCAAATTCTGACACAGTCACTGGCTGACTCATCCAGAAATAAGCTGTCCCACAGGGAGTCAACGAGTTCCTTTAACGCATTGCTGAGAGGATTGGTATGCTACCTTGGTCCTCTGAACAACAACATCCATACCTTCTGAAAATATTTTCCTCATTTACAAGCAGCAAAAAGGTTATACTGATCAAAACGTTTCCATAAGGAGGTAACAAGAGTACTAAGAACACCAGAACTGCTAGACTATAACGTATCTGGCATGTGGAAGGGAAGAATAGAAGTGGACAATGGCAAATGTAAGCCAGAGATGACAGCTTTGTCTTGTAAAATTATTCACTGGACTGTGCATTGTGCATTGGTGATATTTAACTGTCCTGTTCATGTCAGAGTGGAAGAACTCATGCAGCAGATAAAATGCCTCAATCTGGAGTATTCTTCTGCAATCTTTATAGCCCGTAACTTACTCTGTGTGTGTATGCACAGTTCGGGAAGTTGACTACAGTTCTCTGCTGACAGCCACACTATTGCTACCTTCACGAAATGCCATGGAGTTAAGCCAATTTTCTCTGTAAAACGTATTTTAGTCTCAAACCATATTCTCTCCTTTCTGACTGCCAAGGCAAGAAGAGAAGTCAGACTTTGTCTAGAATAAGATCTCAAAGAAATAAAACTCTAAGACTATTTTATGAACGATTATTTTGGTTCCAGCCTTTTCTGTCCCTTTTCTGTCTCTGTCCCAGGCTATGAGCTTTTCTTGTTAGGCAAAGGAGATGATGACAGGAAGAGTTAATTGAAGTGATTTGTTAATCAATCCAAACTAGCCTTCTATTACACATATGCAGACTCCAGGGTCCCTGAAGGGCATCAGCAACAAGATTCATTAAGTTAGTTAAACAGTAACATCTTCTGCTAGTCTTCACAGGGTCCTTGCCCAGGGCTTCTGTTTAGGTGTAATTCATGAGATTACACCTCACCTGTCCCAAAACAAAGGTTCTGTCAAAGTTGAAATACAGGAAAGAAAGAAGTCTAGGTATGTGCTAGAGATGAGCTTCCAAAAACTTGGGCGAGATACAGATTTGGGACAGTATCTGGGTCTGGCAGGGCTGCTAGTGTTAGAAATGTGGTCATGTAGGTCAATTGATTTCACAGGTTTGGTGGTCCAAAGATATAAAACCAAGGCAGACAACAAAAGATGCTAGAAAAGAAGGAAGAACAGCTGTCAAGTGCACTTGCTGAACATCTCTACAGTCCTGTTGTGGTGTTTTATATTGATTAGGGGAACCACTGCTACCCAGAAGACAGCAGAGCCTGGGAGTACTTGAATTCATGCAGGCCAAGTGCATGAGTGGTGCTACTGGCTTTGTGTGACTTACAATTAACTTGTATGAATGAGGTTGTGGGTTTTTTATAGCAAGGTTAATGACACTAAACACTGATGCTCTACTGGCAAAGTACAGATTTATTCTAGGTTGGAAGGGAGCTCTGGAGGTAATCTGGCCCAATGCTCTCCTCAAAGCAGATTCAACTCTTCAGTTACATCCGGCTTCAAGATGGATCTGCGACCCAGAAGACACTTGTGCCAGATAACAACAGAAATGAACCATCAGCATTGGTGAGCATCCAGAAGGTCAGAAAGAGAACAGCAGTACATTCCCTCGCACTAAACTTGGAGCAATGCTCAGGATCCCAGATTTGATCTGACTCTTTTCACATCACCAGTAAGGACATTTGCTGTAGGAAGTCATGGTATGCCTTCATGCAGGGGAAGAAGCAAACAAAAGCTAAAGACTAAGCTTGCATGCCAGATTACCGATCAAGTCCTCAGAGACAGTATCTCAAGGATTTAAACGATGCTGAGGAGGCAAATCAACAAGTTGCCTGCAGTAATACATAGAAAGCATGGCTGAAGTGATTTGGCCAAGACAGGAGGCTGCATTGTGCATGCCATTGGGGAACAGAGTAAATCTATTACAAAAATGGGATTTTCTTCTGTTTCTCTTGAGGGGAAAGACTTCAGAAGTAAACAGGAAATTATTCAGGATGTACGTTTATCTCACCGGTGAGCTGAATACATAAACACCGAAGACCAGCGTCAAACAGCATGCGAAAGTCAATAATGAAACAAAAAATGACCAAGCTAACGAATGATGAAGGGCCTTCACAGGAGTGAGAATGTGTCCTGACTATTGATTTTGAAACTGCAGGTAGTAGTTGGAGGCTGGGAAGAAATGGACAGTGGAAATGTCAGATATGAATTTGTGATGTAGGAAATCGGTTAGAATAATAATGTTGCTGCGCACCGCTAAGATGCTCAGCTACAAGCACTATACAGCTGTGATTTCATAAACTTCACTGAATTTTAGTAAGGCACTATTATTGCCATTTTTTGAGTAAATTCACTGAGGCAGAAGAAAGCAAATATTGTTTAATTTGGGGTTCACATGTTGGATCAATTTTCCTCAAGTGCTGAGTAAAAATCTACCCATTATAAACCATGTCCTGTGCTGATGTCTCAGATTAGGAGCTGAATCTCTGGTAATGTTGAAGTATCTTGTCCACAGAGATGATAAACTGCCCAGCTGAGAACATCCCTATTTATGTAGGCTCCTAACATTCAGAACCTTCCTTCTTTATACAGATTTCTTCACATGAAGAAGTCTGCTGCAGACTTGGCATCAGATGTAATTATAGAAAACAAACTGTGAAACTGGAGGCAAAACACAAGCCACAGTTACGTGCTTGTAACCGTCTGTGGGTTTTCTTTAAGCACACAGAAGAGGTTGTTGGAGTCACCTATGCCTCAGCAGGTGACCTTCCCAGCCAGTTGGTGCTGTCACAGGGAGTGCCTTTAAAACTCAGATCGTGTTGGCAGGCACCAAGTGACTGCGGCCAGTCAGGGGAACCATGAGAAGTTTTCCCTCACAGCTCTGCAAGAGGCAACCAAAACCTCAGTCCTCTCCTTAGGGAGTTCAGCTGTAAGCACTGGGTGTCAGCAGGAGGAGGAGATGGTCGCATGGACGAGGAGCTTGCTTTACGGTCACCAACCTGGCAAGAGGCAAACTAAAGCCTGAGGAAATCCCAGCAGTTCAAGCAGCTCTGGCTATTGCAAGGAGCCACTTGTGAGCCTCAGCAACTTTTGGTGACCCACCTGGGCAGGCACAGGTGAACATGGTCAAACCAGGCTGCCTGGGAGTAGGAGCAAAGTTGAACTGGGCAATCTCTCTCCCAAGATGCCTGATGAAGGCAAACGTGGGATTGCCAGAGATGTGTGAGTCATTGCAAGCTCTGAAAGGGAAAAGGTGAGCTGAAGGGAGGATAGCTTGTTTATACCTTGGGATCATGGCATGCTGGGATTAGCCTCTGCTCTAGTGCACTGTTAAAGTTGCTCCTTTTATTGGAGCGCTTGGAAAGTTGTCTGTGGTCAAGTAGAGTCTCCAGCATGATCTTACTGTCTTTATTATTTACCCATACCAATATGGTGCTATCTCTATCCCAAAAGTTAAGACAAGGTAATCTTGTGCTATAGTTTTAAAGGCAGGCACCACCTCCAAATCCATCAGGTATCTCCAACAGCTTTAGATGGTGTTCTGTACCCTAAACGGTGTAGGCTATGTATAAAATAAGTATTCCACTAGTGGCGTGCAGTTGGTATATTGGATATTATATCTAATACTGCAAAAGCTCAATCTCTTCATGTGAGAAAAGACAGAAAACTAGGTAATACATAGCTTTTCAGAAGAAATATGTTTCTTGGCCATTCACAGAGTGTTCACACTTATATACAAATGGTTAGGATGATTTGTCAATGTGGGAGTTCAATACTGTACTTACACTAGATTTCCTAAAAATGTTTCTACAAACAGTAGGTATAGAAAATAAAAATAAGTGTATCTATATACTCACTGGGAGCAAATAACTGTTTCTTTTCTATCAAGAATGAATAAAGAAAAGTAAGAGAAACAAATGCTTTCTTAATCTTTGCAGAAGAGCTGTTTCATTCTAATTTCCCAGCCGTTGCAAGGTGGTGTGCCGGCTCACTAGCAATAAAAGCACTTAAAAGAACCCCAACAGTCATCAAACTTGTTGTTTCTCTCAAAATAGGTAAGTTCCAGGTTCTAATCAACTTTGGAGGAAGGACACTCTGGAAAGATCATCCCAGGGATTTGACTGCAGGCTAGTGATGAGCTTACAGAAATCTGTAAAGATCATGTTCTGGTTTTGAAAGTTCTGCTTACTGTAGTTGTTCATTTGCTGCATTTCCATTGCTGTGTTTCTGTCTTCTGCACATTCATCAAGGAAGGCTATATTTGCCCAAATGGTTTAACTTGAAAATGGAGATGGCCATGCCATGCCCTGTCCTCCTGGCCATCACGTTCTTCTTAGTTCCTGCTTACTGTTTTAATGTTTTATTGTGTTTATAGTCATGATGCAGATGACAATTGAGGTTGTTAAGAAAGTTCAGAATATCAAACTTACATTTCGAAAGTATTTTAGTTAATTGTTCCTCCCTCCCATTTTCTGTTTTTAAATACAGGATTTACAAAACATCTTTGATAAACACATGAGCTGCCTGTGTGCCCCTTCCTGCACTGCTCACCTGTGGGAGCAGCTCTGTGCTGGTGGTCTGATGGCCAGACAGGGAGCAGGTGGATTGTGCTTGCCTCTGCGCTCTGAAGATCCGTCAATGAAAGCTTCCCGAGACGGGTCTTCTTCGTCTGACTGCCCCAGGAATTCTGTTAAGATGAATCAAGGTATGATATCAGGCTTAGTTAATTTAAAAGCACCAATCAAGTTGACAACTTAGATGTTAATAAGGACAAGGGTGTCCTCTCTTGTAAAGGATAAAATTGAATGGAAAACCATATGCTTAAGCAGTTTTCACCTTTGAGTCTTCCCCTTGAAAAGGAGGACAAGTAGCTAATGACCAGCAACAATAACACATCTAAGAGTCTTTGGAAGGGAGAAAGTAAGTGAGTGTTAGCTTTAGTTAGCAAGGAGGAAATGCCTTCTCTAAATTGTCAAATACAGAAGATCCAGCTGGCTGCCAAGGTCTGCTGCATGTGAGTATTTCACTGTTGCCATACAGGTCCAAGTCTTATCAATTCGAGTGTTTCCCACTCGAAGGTTATGTGTAACTCCTTCCTTTAAAAATAAAGACTTCTTCTAGCTCTGTTTCAAAATATTCTGATTCACAATCAAGACCCTAAGTCTTCAGGTAGGTGAAGGAAGGGTCTCCAATTGCAAAGTTCCAGCCTGAGCCCTTTGGGGAAGGGAACTGTTAGAAAATATCTGAACCACTTAAAAATACAGATGAGGAATTGCATATTCTGTGTGAGACTTAATATAAATAAATAAAAAAAGTAATCAAACCACAGGCTGGCAGAGTTTGGATTAAGGAAAAAAAATCCTGTTACAGATAAAGACTTTAAAAGATTTTTCTCAAAGTCTCAAGACCCTTTTGCATTTATTTTCTTTTTCCTTTTTTAATCCTGTTTTTCTCCCCTTGTTCTCTGCCCTCCCAGATCCTGTATAAGCTAATCTCCACGATACCCATAGCAACACCATGGGCAGCACAAAGAATATAACACTCTCGTGAGCGTTGCCGTACTGCTAGTTTACATTTTGGCTGGAGACCCAGAATGTTCACCAGCTTAGGAGGGCAAATCTACCTTTAAATGTTTTTGAATCTCCGAGTCCTAAAAAGCTGTCAGATTGCTGCAGACTATTTCTACTCTTCATGTACCAACATATTATTAGCATCTGTGGTGTGAGAAAGGGTGAAGTGTGGCAGCTGATTTGGCTTTCTCAGGTAACTGATATTCTCTGCCTGTGCTGCTGTTTCCCACACATGGAGCGATGTGGGAAACTGCTAAAAACAACCAACCTGGTCAGGCACAAAACACCTCCAAGCATGCAGACCACATTACAATAAGTAAAGGAGCTAAACTGGTCTTGGTGTAATTTCTCCTCTACCTTGAATAAAAATTCCAGAGAGAAGAAAAGGAGGTGAGAAAAAGGAGTAGGAACAATGCTCTACATCTAGGAAATTCAACTCCAAGGCAAGTAAAGTAGGTTTCTCTGGAGATCTCTTCTTGGAGCCTGATGCAGAGTGAGCAGCCAAGAGAATGATGGCAGGGTAGCAATATGGAGAACTTAAAAAGAAGAAACTGCTTGTGAAAAGCATGAAGAACTCTGGGAAAGGGCTTAGACAAAATTCCTATTGATGTGTAGCATGGGCAAAATCCACCACAGCTCTTGTGGGACAAACTTTGACAACCTCTGCTTGAGAGCACAGCTCTCGCTGCCAGGCTTCCTCCTCTGAACTGAATCTTTGGTCCTGAACGGCCTCCCTGTTCACTTCACCTTTTAAGGAGGGAAATGTTTGTTAAACCTTTGAGTTTTCTAAATGTCAAAGCTAAGATGTATAGTGTGAGTCAAGCTGGTGTAATTTATCTTATTTTCCTCTCTTTTTCTTTTTCCACCTACTCAGTAATGTCCAAGGCCTACAGAACTTACCCATTAAACTTACAAACTTTCATCAGTATATGCCTATGGCTTCTCCTTAGACATTGCTGAGGCTGACCTAGCTCCAAGGATCAGTGGCATTCCAGAACATAAAACCCTGAGAGACGCTGGGAAAGGAGTGTATATTGAAAAAAAGAAACAAAATAGGACTGGGCAATTTTGTCTTGATCTCTCTCCATCATACCATTAATTTATATTTTCTTATTCCTGCTGAGAACCAGATCTGAATAAACCACAGACTTCTCATATCAATCACTTCAGTGTAACTAACTCATACACATGCTTTTGGTGGGACGTAGCAGTTTTGTAACATGGAGTGGGCTACAACTTGGAGGTATCCAGTCCTCACATGGCACACTTCTAATATATGAATACTATGAGCAATTATAACCAGTGCCACTGACTTTGATATTTTGCTCTGTGGATGCAGTACAGCTATACCCTATTAAATAATGCTACTGGATCCATAGGGACCTCATGTAAAACAGAGCAGTCTGTCATACACAAGCACATTTGTAGTTAAAATTGGGGGATGAGGGGGATTCTTAGCCACAGGAGTGCAAATAAATTTCTTTGCACTTTCATATCTAAATTAAATATCTGAGACTGACCTTAAATTTAGAGAAGTTATGAGGATTGAACCTATTCTAGTCTCGGTATACAACTGCAGTGTTGCAGTAGAATGTTAGATAGGATCAGATGCCAGCTGTGGTTCAAAACCACAAACCCACCAGATACAAGCTGTAGAGTAAAGAAATAAACAATTTTTGTTGTGGGACATTGGACTGCACTCCCTGTGAGAAATGCTACAGCAGAAAAATAAATGCGCAAGGAATACTGTTTAAACAACACAGCCCTTCCCAAACCAGAGGCAACATATCCCACATTTAAGGAAAAAAGGAAAGGAGTTTGGCAACAGCATCGTAGAGCTGCGAGAGGGTGGTGGTCCTCCCATCTGAATAAGGGCTCTGGCTGGGGCTTGATGTTTAATAAAGACTTTACTTTGTGCTAACATTGGAGTTATTACAAGTTGCACCTTATATTTTGTATTCAGGTATTCTGGAATCTTCTGGCTTGTTACACAATAAAGGCTTGCTGTTTTTAATTCTAGCCTAAGATTTACCTATCATGTGAGGATCTAGGAATTTGAATTTTAAAAACTTGAGAGTTGGTATCGTGGCTAACGTTTCATCATTAATTTATTAGATGCAATAATGTGAATTATAGTGTGCTAAAAATCTTTACCTACAAAATCCCATTTGTCATGATCAGTATCAGCATAATGGTGTACACACACAACCACACAATGTGCATTCTGCATTTCTAAAATTTGCTTATAAGCTGCTATTATTACATCTAGCAACTGTCTGAAATAGCCAAAATGTTTCCTTACAAGCCTAGTAAAAGTTCTCCTATGCTTTCATGAGCAGGATGCTCTCTGAATGCCATACACAGCTGATGAGATCTCATCCTTTCCCTGCTTACATACATGTCATTCTTTAACCATATCTATTCTCTTTTGGATCTGTGTCTGCAAGTCAGAAGTTGTTTCCATTCTCCAGTATCCTCCACGGGACTTTCAGGGATAGAAAATGCATTTTAAAACGTGCAATGACATGGTAAAATGAAAACCTTCTTTTAATATTGTTTGCAAAATTGACAGCTCTACTTAACAGAAGCCATTAGATTATTTAGAAAGTAGCTGCTGCTCTCGTAAAAATGCGTCCTTTTTTTGGGGCATGAAAAATAAACTAGCTGATAAGAGAGAGATAAGCCATTTGACTTCTTCTTTGTGTGCCTGGCATGGTATGCAGAACCAATTCTGTACAATCTGATGTTTACAGAGCAATCGTCATGTACGACCTCCTTAGGCAACAGGGACACAAGAAGCCTGTAAAACGCTGAAGCAAGCATTTAATCAGAAGTCTTCATGCTGATCTTTGAAAAATTCAGTAAGTTCAAAAAATGTAACTCCTTCCAAAGATAAAACACCATTTTTTTTTTGCTTCAGGAGTTGCAAATATATCCCAATGAACTCCCAGTGAACCACACAGACCAGACATACTGCTCTTCTTTTTTTCAAAGAAAGAAGTAAATAGTAGAGTTCTTCTGAAAGAAACAAATCAAGGGTCTGAAGAAATGCAAATGGTTAAGCAAAGCGAGTGCTGCAAAACAGTATAGTTTAGTAATAACCCAAACAATCACACTTTTAAAATAGGCATTTGAATAGCTATTTCCATGTGAATAGGTTCGTATCTCCTTTTATTATGCATTAACTTCTTTTTTTATTTTAATTTTTTATTTTGACATATTGAAATGAAACTCAAGCTTTTGCCAGTTTATTAGGGGGGTTTGTTTGTTTTTTGTTTAAATTTAAGGCAAATGATGGCTGCAGGAGGCATGATATTGAGCATGATCTCATACATTTTCTGGCTGCTCCACCTTAACTCTATCCTGGGTTTTCTCAAACCACACGCAGGTATTTCCAAAGCCACTGGGTAAAAATTCTTTTGGTATCAAAATTAGTGGGAACTTCCATTGCCGATTTGAGCATCGTCAGCTCTTTTTTTCTGGCTTCAATTGTTCTCCAGAAAACGTCTTTCTAAAGAAACAGATTGCAATAAAATTGTTTAGTTTCAACAAATTCCTGCAGCAAAACCACACAGCTTTGTCTGTGTGTGTGTAAAAATGTAACTCTAAAGTTCTCTGCTTCTTTTGGCCTAGTTTTCCACAGTTTCTTACTTTTAGATTATTTTGGTGTTGTTTTGTTAATTCCCAGCGCTGACATGTTTTAATTTGATAAATTGTCAAAATATTGTTTTTATAGTACTTCTAAAACTCATTGAGAACAGCTGTTACTGCTGAGCGATCTGGAAAAGGTACATTAAATCAGAATGTCTCCCATTTTTGTTGTAATTTAACAATTTGATACCTGAGAAGATAAGGCACTTCAATCACTACTAAGTAGAAGCAACCCTTAATGGCAGCATAACGTGCCATTATTTCACTAATGGGATATTAGGTGTATTAGCAGCAGCAAAACTGTTTCAATGGGTGTGACAGGAAATGTAGGAATTAGAATAAAAGTTGTGTGATAAAACTAAAGAAGTCGTCAACATTTATAAACAACTCAATGTAGGAATTAGAATAAAAGTTGTGTGATAAAACTAAAGAAGTCGTCAACATTTATAAACAACTCAATTTTTAG